TCATTTAATTTTTTTTCTCCTCAATTTTCTATTGACATGTAATACAATGAGTGAATCATATTTAATATATTTTTTCTGAAGCTCTAGACAGATTTATCGCCGAAACAATTTAAAAGAAATAATTGTAGGCTTTAAAAATGTTCCATTCGCGTTCTACAGGTGCCTGTCTCTAGAAAGAATAAGCAATGGCACATCGATATATGATATGATAGTATGATAGCTAGAGGAGCAATAGGGTACACAAAACTGTACTAGAGCACTGCTTAGAGAATAAAGACTGCTTCCTCACTCACCTAAGAATGACTTATTTAACAATATTTACACATTACAGTCCATCTTTAACTACTCAATCATCCCTTAGCCTTCCTGCCTTCCACACACAGCGAGCAGTAACAATGTCTTTCATAATGGTTGATGGGAGGAGACAGGGTATTTTTTTTTCAAAATAAATCAAAGGAATTGCTCTTGATGTCCTTTTCTTCTGCGTTTAGCCAATAATATTAACAAGTTCATTTTATGAACAAAAAAATACTAGCAAAGTTTCATTTTTACTTTTTTTAGTTTTATTTTTACTTTTTTTAATAGTAAAAACAAATTAGACTTCAGAGTTTCCAAATGTTTTCCTCATACGAGTATATATCCAAATATTTTGAACCCCTTTCCGTCTAAAACCATTACTGAATCGATGTCATTATCAACTGGAACCTAAGTTCACTTCAACATCCATCAAAACACCATTGAATATAACAGAAAAGAATCTTGTCCGAGATTTTAAGACATACATAGATTTTGTCTGCATATATATATATATATATATATATATATATATATATATATATATATATATATATATATATATATATATATATAATATATATATATAGCACTAAAATGACCAACGACACGAACAATAAAAATTGTCAAATTTTCGGGACGCCCTGTCCCTTCCTCAGGACAAAGAAAAAAGTTAAAAAGTCATAAAAACAAAGGAAAAAGAGAAACAAAAACAACTAGCACTACTACTAAACTACTAAACACTAGATATTTACATAATTACATGTTGAATTGGAAATATTAAGAACACAAATAATGAAAGAAATCCGGACCGCTGTGAAATGCGTCCGGTCTATCGGGTATACTCGGGTGAAGTGCGATTTACATAATTGAACGAATTAATTATGCTAATTAATTACGATAATCAGCAAATCGTACATTGTTTCATTATCTCAAAATGGCTTAACTTTACTTAATAAAGAATAATCAAAGAAAAATAACATAGCAGAGATATTTAAACATATGAATTATGATCCATTATAAATTTTGAAATATTTAAAGATTTATTACCGGGAAAAAATTTTAACAAAAGCGTAAACAATAAATAGTTTTTTGATAATTGAACGAATTAATTATGCTAATCAATTAAGATAATCAGTAAATGGTACAGTGTTTCATTCTCTCAAAATGGCATAACTTTACTTAATAAAGAATAATCAAAGAAAAATAATATAGCAGGGATATTTAAACATATGGATTATGATCCATTATAAATTTAAGCATTTATAACCGGGAAAAAAAATTTTTTTAACAAAAGCGTAAACAATAAATAGTTTTGTGGATTGTCCGAAAGTTGGTGACGCAAATTAACAGTAGAGTTAACACTAAATTGAGAGAATAATCTTGTCTAGTATCATCAGGAATTGGGTCTAGTTTACGTTCATTCTGGTGAAGTCATTCAGTTTGTTAATGCCGTTAGGGCGGAATGACTTCAATCTGTGCATCCAGAACTTCTCTTTGCTTTTTCTCTGAGCATCTGTCCATCTTGGGTTATGGTCAATCACCACTACTGTCATGTCCTCCCATTTGTGACCCTCAAGGTTGAAATGTTCCCCAACGGGTTCATTGAGTTTTTTGGTCCTAATGGTCGAGCGGTGGTTATTGACTCTCCTGCGGAGATCTCCTGTTTCACCAATATACTGTTTGGAGCAAACTTTGCAACTGATGAGATAAATGCAGTTGTCAGTCTGACAGGACAAATTCCCTAGTATTTTGTAGCTGCGGCCTGTAACAGGGCTGCTAAAACTGTCTGTGTCAGTGCTGTGCTTACAAAGAAGACATCTTCTGTCAGAGCAAGTTTTAAAGCCCCCGTTTGGTAATGGGTTGTCCAGTCTGGTTCTTACTACCATGTCCTTAAGGTTCCTTGGGCGTCTGTATGCAGCCAGTGGGGGTTCCTTAAAGACCTCTGCCATTCGTTTGTTTGAATGGAGAATTGGAAGGTTCTTTTGAAGGATACCGCTAAGGTTCTTAAGGACGGGATGGTATGTAGTTACCAGAGGGACCCTGCCGCTATTGTCTTTCTCCTTGTAGCGTAATAGATTTTGCCTGTCATGTCCCGCCATCTCATCAATAGCTGTTTGTACGGTGCGGGCATTGTAGCCTCTTTTGCATAAGTGGGACTTAAGAAGACCACTTTGCTCCTGATATAAGGCAGGGGAGGAACAGATGCGTCGAATTCTGGTGGCTAGACCCTTAGGCACTCCCTTAAAAGTGTGTGGGGGATGACAGCTAGTGGGCATAAGATAAAGGTGGGAGTCTGTGGGTTTGGTGTGGAGACTGAATTCGATTTCACCGTCAATCAGGGTAGATGTAGTATCTAGGAATACGTTTTTCGAATTAGATACGTCTACTGTAAATTTGATTGACTGATGAAAGGTGTTGGCAAACGTAATGAATGCCTCGAGGCTCTCGCGACATTCCACCCACTTCATCTCTATATCGTCAATGAAACGCAACCAGCTATGGGGCCTAAATGGTGCTTGAAGTAACAAGTTGCGTTCCAGTCTGCCCATGAAGACATTGGCATAAGACGGTGTCATTTTCGTACCCATAGCAGTGCCATTAACTTGCAGGTAATGTTCTCCATTAAACATGTTACAGGCCGCAGCTACAAAATACTAGGGAATTTGTCCTGTCAGACTGACAACTGCATTTATCTCATCAGTTGCAAAGTTTGCTCCAAACAGTATATTGGTGAAACAGGAGATCTCCGCAGGAGAGTCAATAACCACCGCTCGACCATTAGGACCAAAAAACTCAATGAACCCGTTGGGGAACATTTCAACCTTGAGGGTCACAAATGGGAGGACATGACAGTAGTGGTGATTGACCATAACCCAAGATGGACAGATGCTCAGAGAAAAAGCAAAGAGAAGTTCTGGATGCACAGATTGAAGTCATTCCGCCCTAACGGCATTAACAAACTGAATGACTTCACCAGAATGAACGTAAACTAGACCCAATTCCTGATGATACTAGACAAGATTATTCTCTCAATTTAGTGTTAACTCTACTGTTAATTTGCGTCACCAACTTTCGGACAATCCACAAAACTATTTATTGTTTACGCTTTTGTTAAAAAAATTTTTTTTCCCGGTAATAAATGCTTAAATTTATAATGGATCATAATCCATATGTTTAAATATCCCTGCTATATTATTTTTCTTTGATTATTCTTTATTAAGTAAAGTTATGCCATTTTGAGAGAATGAAACACTGTACCATTTACTGATTATCTTAATTGATTAGCATAATTAATTCGTTCAATTATCAAAAAACTATTTATTGTTTACGCTTTTGTTAAAATTTTTTCCCGGTAATAAATCTTTAAATATTTCAAAATTTATAATGGATCATAATTCATATGTTTAAATATCTCTGCTATGTTATTTTTCTTTGATTATTCTTTATTAAGTAAAGTTAAGCCATTTTGAGATAATGAAACAATGTACGATTTGCTGATTATCGTAATTAATTAGCATAATTAATTCGTTCAATTATGTAAATCGCACTTCACCCGAGTATACCCGATAGACCGGACGCATTTCACAGCGGTCCGGATTTCTTTCATTATTTGTGTTCTTAATATTTCCAATTCAACATGTAATTATGTAAATATCTAGTGTTTAGTAGTTTAGTAGTAGTGCTAGTTGTTTTTGTTTCTCTTTTTCCTTTGTTTTTATGACTTTTTAACTTTTTTCTTTGTCCTGAGGAAGGGACAGGGCGTCCCGAAAATTTGACAATTTTTATTGTTCGTGTCGTTGGTCATTTTAGTGCTTTATATAAATTTCCATCCGTGACCTTGTATCTACTTGGTAGATCCGACATTTAGGATATACAGTGTTGTTGGTTTTTTAGTGCTTTATATATATATATATATATATATATATATATATATATATATATGCCTTCCTGCCCAACTTCCGTATAAGAAGAAGAATCAACTGCCATATAAAGAATAAAAGTGGTCATTTATTAAGGAGTATAAATCATATGAACTTCACATACATAATAGCATATAAAAACTCATAAAAAGACATTGCACAAAAATGATGTGACAGGAACAAAAAATCTAACACTACTTCAATAAATGACAAAAAATCAAAATACATATATGTACACAAAATACTACAAAACTATTACGCATTTGTATCCTGAGAAATGGACAGACTAGTAAAATTATTATGCAACAAAATTTTGGCCATTGAAAGGACTAGATATACAGTATGATCTAAACAAGGCAGTGATATGGGGTGTACATCTGCCATCTTAACAAGGAAGGCTATCTCAGTTCTCCTACATCTGTCATGTCATACATATACATTGCATACACAGGCTGCTTTGTTAATGCCCCATATCTAACCTTCGTTTACAATGCGTATGTACATCGAAAAAAATGCACCGGATATATCGTACTAAGCATAAAAACAATAAATGGAAGGGTGCAGTGTATTCCCCTTAAAAATGATATGAAACTCAGAGCCCCTGTCTGCAAGTATGATGCAATCCAATTGACAACCTGTAGCCCCTGTCTACATGGTTGTGTTTGTATTGGATATGAAGCCCCTGTCTTCACAATCCTAAAAGAAACGCTTGAGTCTCTTAAAATTTTAGAGTTGGAATTCTAATACACTTTTTGAAAGCAGACGAATTCCATCTGCCCATACTTTGTTCGGAGAATCCAAGTGAGGCAGCTGTAGTGGCGGCACCAATGCGGAAACTATGAGTGTTGTAACTTTGTAAGTCAAGGTTACAGAAAGGTAAAGCCGATCGCAACTGCTGAGTAAAGTACTGGCGAGAAATAGGCAAACCATCCATAAAAGAAAACAAAGGTTCTGCATGGGAACAATGCTTTCTGAGGTTCGGGTAATGCAGCAGAGCTTTGTATGGGCACACTAAAGGGTCCTTATTATTTTGTTTCAAGCGGAGTGTTGTTGTGTTTGCCTTTGAGTGTTTGAAGTGGGGTATATTTATGTCAATGAACCTGTTCTGTGGACTGTCGCTCCCTACCGTAACGTTTCCAAAGAGTGGAAAATGTTGAGTTGTAGTGTGTGTTTTCGTTATTTCCCCGACTCGTAAGAAGGCACAAAATGCAAGGGTAAACATGGCACGCCAAAGTGATTTTGTGAAATCCGATGAAGTGGTGAAATCCAAAGCCTGAATGAGTTTCCTCAACACAACTGGGGTTATTGGAAGCCTTGGGTCAGTTGTTGGTTTGGATTTACGGTATCCCTGTAGCATTTTGCGGATGATGAAATGCTGTGTTATATCTGAATAGTTTCCGAGTTGGAAGATGAAACTCAATGAGGATACTAGTGTGGAAGTGGTAGATGCGGCAAAACCTTTCTGGTAGCAATGAGCAACAAAAAGTGATAGGTGTTGCACACAAGGTGGAAGTGGGGATGTTTGGTTCCCGAAAGTCTGTTCAATAAAGCATTTGTATGATGAAAAGGCTGATTTGTAAGCCAATAGAGTCGACGGTGATAAAGAACTTCGAACCAATAGGTCAGCTGTACAGGTCAGATCTTCACTAAACTTGAGGGGACTGGTGTTGGTCCGCTGTCCATATGAGGGAAGCGTGCCCGAAATTTCTTCACCTGCAAACGAGAGAGTAAGTCAGAAGCTGTATTAGATATTCCTTGTATATGTTTGGCCTGGAAATGGATATTGTGTTTAAGTGAAAGAACCGTAAGACGGCGCATCAGTTGCATAAGATGGGGGTCTTTTGAGGTATTTTTGTTTATAACGTGCACAACAGCCATGTTGTCCAAATGTAGAACAACTGTACAGTTTTCCAAAGAAAGGGCCCAAATCTCTAATGCAATGACAATAGGTAGGAATTCTCGTTTTGAAATATGGTATTTTAACCAATCTGCGGTGAACTCATGGTAAAACCACTTTGTACGAAAAGTGCATCCGAATCCTATGTTACTTGCATCGGTGAAGAAATGCAGTGAAGAGGAAGAATGAGTTATACCGGATGGAAAAAAGGCCCTGCCGTTAAAATGTTCCAAAAACACACCCCAGGCACGCAAGTCAGCCTGTGCCTGTAAGTTAAGACGACGATAATGGTATGGTTTCTTAAGGCCAATCGTTAGGTCGATGAGACGTCTCAAGAAAGTGCGACCAGGTGGTACGACATTACACGCAAAATTCAGCATACCAATCAAGGACTCCAATTCTAGTATCTTTCAACGTTGCAGAATGCTTTGTTTGAATTTTTTTGATTTCTGCCTTTAATTGTGTTAATTTATCCAAAGGTAATCTGATTTCCATCTTCTTCAAGACCCAAGAATGTGAGGGTAGTTGTTGGGTAAACAGTTTTTGCCGATTTGATAGGCAGCCAATGCCTTTAGCTAGTTGGTAAAAAGCTAGTAGAACTCTGTAACATTTTGAGAAGTTAGGTAGACTTATGAAAAGAAAATTGTCCAAGATGTGTACACAATGCAAAACTGAAAATTTTGATTCAAGGATCCATTGAAGGGCTGAGCTGAATTTTTCAAAAAGGTTACAAGAATAACTTAGGCCAAAGGGTAAGGTTTTGTCGAAATAATACTTATTGTCCACCATGAAACCTAACAGTTCAAAGTCATCCGGGTGAATAGGGATCTGTTTATAAGCATTTTCAAGGTCTGTTTTGGCTAACAAAGCACCCCTTCACAATTCCTTGATTATTGCGATGGCGGTGTCTACTGACTGGTATTGAACTGTATAGAACTCTTTAGGAATGTTATGGTTAATTGAATCTCCTTCAGGGTAAGATAAATGATGGATCAATCGAAATTCCCCAGCTGCTTTTTTGGGCACCAATCCTAAGGGTGATATCTAAATATTTGGAAATGGAGGGCTAAGATAAGGTCCAGCGATACGGTTTACGCTCATTTCACTTATGAGCTTACTATGAAGAATTTCATTATTACCCTTAAGAGACGAGAGGTTTCTCGATATCCGAAATGCACATTGACCCTGATATGGGATTTTAAAACCGAAAGTAAACCCTTGTATAAGAAATGAAGTCAAAGCTGAACCGTAGCCCTCAAAATAACTAGACAGTTTATCGACTCTAATCGGTGTTATGATCATTTTATCCTTTTTACGTAGACAAGGATGATGGTTTGTTGGATGTGCTTGTAGGTTTTTTAGCGTAATGTTTTGAGAAAACTTGTTTTGTACAATTGTTGGCGAGGGTGCTTTCCAGAACAGTACTGACAGACATGCTGGTGGGGGCAGTTGATTTTGTTGCACGAGCCGAGATTGTTGTAGGAATAGGATTAGTTACGCTGAATGGGTTGGGCACGAAAGGGCTGCTTTTTGTTATTAAATTTAAAGTCTAACCCAGAAACTAATGCCTCCTAATACAACTCTATATTTTTTTTTTCTTGTCCCAGTCACATGAGGAGGGTTCCTTTTCGCACCAACGCCGAAATTTTTCATCATAGAGTAAGGCCGCTTGGTCCCCGAAAGAATCCGCGATTTTTTGTACTGTTTGTGCATATGTCATCAGTTTGACGATTTAAAGGGGGGATTTCTCTGCATAGATCGCGACGAATATGTGGAAAGCCTCCAACCATTTGTGAATTGTTTTCAGCGGGCCTTTGTCGTTTGATTTAACGAAGATTAACTGCCCATCTTTGTCTACTGACTTAAACTTTCAGTTTCCTCATAATCGAGGTCTTTCGGCAATAGAGTAGAAAATTTTACAAACTCGTTGGCATGAATTTTTGCCCTTATCTTAACATCAACCCCCAATGTCAGGCCGGTTGCTGGGTGTGGGTCCCCCTCTTTTGTAGGTTGGGTTAATGTGGTTTTACCTTGCGTTATGATTTCCTCAATGAGTGGAGGGTTGGGCGATACTGACTCCAATGAGACTGACTCTGAGGAGACTGGTTCCGAAGGTTTGGGTTGTGATGGCTGCTCGGGCTGCGTTTCTGTGGCAGATGTTTGTCCAGTTGTTTGATTGTTCCTGTTGTAGTTATCCGCCATACAGCGTTTATAGGTGTCCTCAATGGTTGGCAGAATGGCAGCCATGCATGATTTAATCATGTCATCTTGGTCCCTCTGCGGCATTCCTGCCGTGGGCGGAATCTGATTACCATCGCTGTTTTGGGCCGATGCTCCTTTGCTCCTCCTTCTCCTCTTAGGTGTTGACGGCATGTGGTAGAAGCTAAAAATATAAAGTACAATAAGAAGAATCAGATTTAATGTTGTCTGGTTGAATTCTTAACCTCATAAGTAGCTTTAACGCTTAGTCAGTTCAACCATTAATTACATGACGTTGAGCTTTATATGTCATTGTACTAGTGTACAATATATAGCACTCAGGCTTAAACTTCCTTGCAAATATACTGGGCATAACATAGCACAGAGGCATTGCATAAACGTAGAAAATTATGCAAATAAAGTGAGAATATCATAGCCCTACGGCTTACTTTATGCATTTTCCACATTGCAGATAAATGCAAATTACACATAGCAGTTAGCTAAGGTTTATGTGAGCAATGCACCTATAACCAGCAAATTATACCAGAATAACATAGCACATTGGCTTCATGTTCACATTGCACATCATGCTAGAATATTGTGGCCAGCATAGCACTTAGGCTTTATGTCAACATAATATGAATGGCAATTACGTAGCACTTAGGCTTTTGTAAACATTGCACTTGCAAGTATACCGAACATAACATAGCACTGACTAATTGAGGCTAAAGGTACTGAAAAATCATAGAATTAGTGCTTCATATCAACATTGCACATAATGCAGGTATACTGAGAATAGCATTACATAGCACTGAGGCTAAGTGTAAACATTGCACATAATGCAAGTGTCCTGAGAATAACATTACATAGCACTGAGGCTTAGTGTAAACATTGCACATAATGCAAGTGTCCTGAGAATAACATTACATAGCACTGAGGCTTAGTGTAAACATTGCACATAATGCAAGTATACTGATAATATAACATAGCACTCAGGCGTTATGAAATACATTGCACATAATGCGAATATACTTGGAATTGCATAGCACTAAAGCTTAACGTATAACTGTATGTGCTGAAATTTGTGATGAAATATTAGGAACAAAGCAGTTACCTGTGTCCGGACAAATATATACAAATGTTTGGAACACTCTTTTCTTTTGCACTAAATATACATAATGCAAGTGTCCTGAGAATAACATTACATAGCACTGAGGCTTAGTGTAAACATTGCACATAATGCAAGTATACTGATAATATAACATAGCACTCAGGCGTTATGAAATACATTGCACATAATGCGAATATACTTGGAATTGCATAGCACTAAAGCTTAACGTATGACTGTATGTGCTGAAATTTTTGATGAAATATTAGGAACAAAGCAGTTACCTGTGTCCGGACAAATATATACAAATGTTTGGAACACTCTTTTCTGTTGCTCTAAATATACATCTATAACTGAAAAAATAAAGAACATATTGGCCCAGGTAATTTAACAGGCATACAATAATAGTGCTTTGACTGTGATAAATTGTTCATCCTTAAATGATATTATAATTTTAAAAATACTAACACATTTTACACATATACATGTAAGTAAAACAAACGTTTAATGTGTGTAAAATGATTATCCATTGTGTTATGATCTAAATTGTTTTAAAAAGTTATTTGGACAGCAATATTACAGCCAGAAGCCCCTGTCTTCAATGCTGTTTTGCTGCAAATGAAGGTCCCTGTCTGTGTTGAGCCAATAGCACGCCTCTGATCTGTCTGCAAAGTTTATGATACCCCAAACTATTGAGATGCACGCCATCGCACAAAATTGGGTCGCGGCTTTCGGAAAAACCCCTTAGTCTCCAAAACACTAAACTATTTGAGAAACAATAATCTTTAAGAAGAGCGTTAGCTTCTTTGACCCTCTGGTTGTAAGTTGTATTGTTTATGTTTCTAGTCAGGAACCTCGTGATGAAGCTTAACACTGTCACTGTTTTCAGATTAAATCCTCGTTTTAGCTGCGTTAAAAATGCAGTCAGTTTCGACACCACACACTCAGAACTATAATCTGGGTCACGCGAATCTAGGTCATTACCCCCGATAAACACAATGAGATGCTGCGGGTTGTAGCGTCTAACTGCAGATAAAATGACAGATAAATGGTGACCCTTGTTAATAAGTCCTCCGCTTAATCCAAAGTAATTCACTTCTTTTAATCCGGAGATGTTGAAAACAGCTTCGGCTGGACGGTCGGCTCCTATGAATGACTTCAGTCTTTTCACATGCGAGTCTTCAACTATCAAAGTTGACATTGTCAGCAACAATATAGTAGGAATAAGTTCACTCGCAAAAATATCACAGTAAAGTGGACACAAATTGAGGGAGAAAAATTAATTTGTCCAGATTTTGACTATGAGAAATACCATAGAATATTCTGTAAACACAGTTTGTTTATACTTTAGCGTCACTGCGCGCCATTTCCCTAACAAAAAAATACTATAGTAAACTATAGTAAACTATAGTTTACTATAGTTAACTATAGTTCCAAAGTTAAAACTTTGGAAGTTTGATTTACTATGGTGAAAACTTTGGAACTTTGATTAACTATAGTGAAAACTTTGGAACTTTGATTTACTATAGTAAAAACTTTGGAACTTTGATTTACTATGGTAAAAACTTTGGAACTTTGATTTACTATAGTTAATACTTTGGAACTTTGATTTACTATGGTAATAACTTTGGAACTTTGATTTACTATGGTGAAAACTTTGGATCTTTGATTTTCTATAATGAAAGCTTTGGGACTTTGATTAAGTACTATAAAACCCGTGGAATTATGGTTTTGATTCTCATTTCGTACATTTTATGAAATGTCAAGAATAAGATTTATTACAGCTTCGATGAACGATTAAAAAAACCCGAATCGTCCCCTAAAAGAACAAAGTACAAGAAATGAATTATAATGAATGAATTGTCCTTGCACCGATAAAAAAGCAATATTTATTATTATTTATGGAGAAAAAAATACTATAAGATAAAAAAAAATCCGTTTTTTCTACCGTTCAATGTAAATAATGCATTTAAATAAATTACTTTGCATATTTAAATTGAGATGAACAACAAAAATCAACCCAAACAAACCAAAATCATCACCATTAAAACAGATTAATAATTTTAAAAAACTTATTAAAAACATAAAAAAACTTTAATACTTTGATATAAACTTTGGAACTTTGATTTATAATGGGAAAAACTTTGGAACTTTGAATTACTTTGGTTTAAACTTTGGAACTTTGATATACTATGGTGAAAACTTTGGAACTTTGATTAACTATGGTATAAACTTTGGAACTTTGATTTACTATGGTCAAAACTTTGGAACTTTGATTAACTATAGTAATAACTTTGGAACTTTGATTTACTATAGTAAAAACTTTGGAACTTTGATTCACTGTAGTGAAAACTTTGGAACTTTGATTTACTTTGGAAAACTTTGGAACTTTGATATACTATAGTGAAAACTTTGGAACTTTGATTTACTATAGTTAACTATAGTAAACTATAGTTAACTTTAGTTTACTATAGTATTTTTTTGTTAGGGTTGCACTGAGTGAACCTTGAACCGACGCTATCGTTTTTTCACGCAAATAGCGCTAAATTGTAAGCATTTACCTATGGAATCCTACGCTGTGTATCCTTAGTGCTGCTATCATGTTGGTATAGTCATTCATAGATCGTTATTTATGACACACAAGCATATAAAACATCCCTTTTCAGACAGTAAAAATATTGTGGATGTTTACATAAAGTGGAATGATTGCGCATGCGCTGACCAGCGAATATGCATATAGTTAAAGTGCGTATGCTTGAACTAAAAATACTTCAATACAATGCTAAAGTCAATGTAAACAAATACATGTGTCCTTGTCATCATGCATAAACTATTTATTCACATAAATTTGTTATATATATGCTGAAAGGAAAAAGAAGGGTAAACTTTTGAGGTGAATATAACAAAAATTTCATGCGATTTTGTCTAATAATTCTTGAGTTATTGAAGGTCATATGACGATACCCCCCAAAAGTGAAAATCGCAAATACTCATTATCTTCAATGTCTCTCCTGCACATTTGTCATGAGCGTTATTTTTCCTTTGCATGGAATTAATCAGAGTGATTATCTTTTAAACCTTGGCTATATTGGGCATCGGTAACCACGCCAAAAAATTAGTCATGGAACGCACGCATGCGCGAGTGAGAGGAATACAAAAGTAAGTTGACATGCTCAAAATACCAAATTGCAGAATTGTTTTCTTTTATTTTGTGTGTGAATGCAATGACTAGAATAGTCTACTGTATAAAAGGCGGATTTTGTGGTAGTAAGATTGCGATTTAAGTGGCGGCAGGACGAATAACCCGCTCGTAACATGGCTCTGTTTCGCGTTAACGTCATCGTCACGGTTGACTTAAAACTATTCCAGGCCCTCTCTGAGAACGGGTAACAAGTTTTATGGGGTAAAATTTACAAGAAACTGTTCAGTTACCCACTGTTGCCTTTTTCAATAATTAGGGAATTCGAAAATCAGACCCCACTGAACTTCCGTAAACTTTACCAAGATTGCAAGGAATTCATATCGTCTCTAAATATTGAAAAACAATGTGTATACCTCAGGTGCATCAAATGGTGCAACAAGATTTGTTGACAAACTCGTCGTTATCATATTGCACGTGTTTTGAGCTTTTTACCGTTTTCCCTACATGACGTCATACATTTTACGGTTGAGTAATTCTGAACACGGATTTTGGTGCATAGTAACTAAATTTCTCGTCTGACCAATTTTTGTCATTTTCCGTCATGCGGTCAAAAAGTTTTCGAATATTATGCTACCCAGCGAATCTTTTTCCTTTCAGTATATATATATATATATATATATATATATATATATATATATATATATTATATTTACATTTCCAATGTCTTTGTCCGAGATAAAATTACCAATTGTAAATGTAATTGATTTCCTCATGAATGTTTTGGCACGGTTCCAAAAAAAAAACACGTGCAGGGCGGGACAACACCTAGAGAGAAGTAGGCTTGGAGCCCGTGGATTGGCGGAATCAAAGCATGTAAATATAAGGAATAACTGTCAGATTTTTCAAATTCATGAAGATGATCAATGGATTGGCTTGTGTGAAAATTTTTTGCATAAACGCCTTCGTGTATATATATATTTAAGGAATAACTGTCTTATTTTTCGAATTCATGAAGTGATCAATGGATTGGCTTGTGTGATAATTTGCATAAACGCCGAAGGCGTTTATGCATAAAATTATCACACAAGCCAATCCATTGATCATCTTCATGAATTTGAAAAATAAGACAGTTATTCCTTATATTTACTTGCTTTGATTCTGCCAATCCACGCCTGCATCTCTCTAGGTGTTGTCCCGCCCTGCACGTGGTTTTTTTTTTTTTGGAACCGTGCCAAAACATTCATGAGGAAATCAATTACATTTACAATTGGTAATTTTATCTCAGACAAAGACATTGGAAATGTAAATATTCTTGATAGTACACGAAAATGTTAATGAACGAAAAATTCCATAAACTGGTTATTATGTCAAAATGAATTTGCATTGGCAATTGTACATAAATGACATTTTTTGTATCGCATGACATGTTTTCTTTAACTCTAAATTAATTCACGCCCACTGAAATTAAAGCTGGTCCCTTCTGTAATGTATTCACATGTACCGCATCGAGGGTTCTTACACTTAGAGACTGTATTAGTATGGTGGTTAAATTTGGAAGAACAAAGTATTCTATTTAGGTTTTTTGGTTGCCGTTTACTGTTGATAAAACGACAATTCTTGTAAACGTTTTTCGTTTGTTCGTCCTCTCTAAGTACGTTGTTCAATTCATAAATAATTGAACTTACGTTTTAATTTCTCGGGTAATGCGTGTGCACAAATGGAATTAATTCAATGTCGTTCGCACGTCGTATGTTCAAAAGTAACTGATTTCTATCGCACTTCTAGGCTTTCTTTATACTATAATCTACAAATTGTTCTGGATATTTTTGGTTTAATAAATACAATTTTAATTCCTCCAGTCGAATATCCCTGATATTGGTATTACTCACAATGGTGCATATCCTTCTTGCGAGGTTATATCGTACCCACAGCAGTGTCATTAACTTGCAGGTAATGTTCTCCATTAAACATGAAGTTGTTGAACTTGAGAACATGTTCAAGGAGCTTAGCAAGGGATTTGGTAGAAGGAACTTGTATTGATCTACTATCCCAGACTTCTCTATAGGCTTCGATACCCTCATCTTGCGGAATATTGGTGTACAAAGATGTGACGTCGAGGCCGCAGCTACAAAATACTAGGGAATTTGACCTGTCATACTGACAACTGCATTTATCTCATCAGTTGCAAAGTTTGCTCCAAGCAGTATATTGGTGAAACAGGAGATCTCCGCAGGAGAGTCAATAACCACCGTTCGACTAATAGGACCAAAAACTCAATGAACCTGTTGGAGAACATTTCAACCTTGAAGGTCACAAATGGGAAGACATGACAGTAATGGCGATTGACCGTAACCCAAAATGGACAGACGCTCAGAGAAAAACCAAGGAAAAGTTCTGGATGCACAGACTGAAATCATTCCACCCTAATGGCATTAGCAAACTGAATGACTTCACCAGAATGAACGTAAACTCGACCCAATTCCTGAAGATACTATACAGGATTATTCTCTAAATTTAGTGTTAACTCTACAGTTAATTTGCGTCACCAACTCTCGAACAACCAACATAACTATGAATTCTTTAAGTCCTTGTTGATTATTTTTTCCCGATAATAAGTCCTAAACTAGAGCCGAGCTCGTTGCAAAGCAACGAATAGGTCTTCCGTTGGAGCTACGGAAAGGAAGACGTAACCTTGAGTCTAGATCAAACCATTATAAAAATTTTAAGTAAACAACCCAAAGGTTTGTTGAGGAAGCAACTTACAATGTTTTGCCAGGAAAAAGACTGTAAAAGAATGTTATGTGCATGACCTTGAACTTTCTAAATGACCTTGCAACAAGCAAAGACAAACTCTGTTATAAAAATACATTCTCTGCGTGTTACCGAGTGGAAAAGTTCACGTATGTTTTTTTTTAGATATTCTTTTAGTTCATATCCAACCAAAACATCTTATCTTAAGTGACCTAGAACTTAAAACAAGTTCATGTCCCACCCTGCATTATATGAGCAATGTTTCACTGGTACAAATACGGTTGAGAATTTAAAGTTTCTCTGTCAGT